ATAATTATCATAATAATAATAAATTAGTAAATATTATAAATTTAATTAATTACTATTATAATAGTTATTAAAATAATTATTAAATATGAAAATAATTAGTAATTATTATAATTAACTTCAAATGTTATTATAATTAATTTAATTAATTCCTATCACTAATTTAAAATTTGACTTAAAAAAATTAATTCATATAACTACTATGAAAGCAATATATTAAAAAATATAAATATATAATATATTGAAAGATATATATATATATATATTAATATATATATATATATAATTTATTATTAGTATTTAGAAAAAAATATATATAATTATATTATTATATAAATCAATATATGTAATTATCATTTTATATAAATTAAAAAAAATATATTAACTAATTATTACTTTAAATTGTTCATTTAGGGTACCCGTATACCTGGGCAAGCTGCCAGGGATGACGAGGTCGATGATCTTGTTCAAGTTCTGGAGCCCGACACACTAAAAGTCGGGATATAAATGCGTTCGTTCGTCAGGATCGGCAGGCGATGATCGCAAAGGCTCGGAGAATACAAAATGGTCCTGCTGGCCAGTCAGGTAGTTCGAAACTCCCCGCACCACCACTACCGGTTGGTCACCAGGGATATTCTTTTCATGGTGCGTCTGGCCAACCAGGCAGCTCTAGAGTCCCCGTCGCCGGAGCAGTACTGTATGATCACGATCATCAGAATACTATTTTGCTGGCTAGGCAGGCAGTTTGATACCCCTTGCACCAGCGTACGGTCAGTAGGGATATTATATTGATGAGTCGGTACCCCAGAGGGAGTAGCCTTCTAACGAGTCTGCATCTTCATATGATTAGGAAGATATTCCTTCTCCTCGACCCCCACCACAGCCTCTTGCACGACCTACAGTTCCTGCACAGACTGCGACTCCTTCACGGCCTATTCGGCCTGCTCCTCCACGAGATGCTAGGGGGTGTTTTGCTAGCACTGGATCATCAGGTAAATAATTTACGTATTTATTATGGTTTTACATGAAACATTTTGAGTTAATAATAACAAATTATTTGTATTGTTAGTGACATTATGTCATATGTATATATATTTATATATTCAATTCTAATGCAGGTACTAGCAAACGATTTAGGACTGATCATGAGGCAGCCTGGATCGTTAGAGGTCTAGTGGCCGGTGGGCACATGGATGGGAGTGTGATCCCTAGATTTCTAGGACACGTAGCCTCCCGAATGTGGAATGGAGAGACGCGAGGCTTACTGAAATGCCAGAACATACAGCAAGCGGTGGAAAATCTGAAAAATTGGCGAGGTGCTATGTTTCGAGGCACTTGATCTGATCAGACAGACCAGACTGTCACATCTGGCAGACTCTATGCACGGCCATTTGGACACTCCACTGCTTACTGCATTTGTAGAGCGATGGCAGCCAGATACTAACTTGTTTCACCTACCTTTTGGTGAAATGAGCATCATGTTGCACGATGTCTGGGCCATTTTAGGGGTTCATGTGGAGGGAGTCGTGGTCGTTGAGGACTCGGATACAGAGGCATGTCAGGCTTACTGCATGGAGATACTTTCGGTGAGGAAGCCTGACCTTATTGCATCGTTCTGGGAGCGTGGTTCGATGGTCAAAGCCTCCGTTGTGGAGAAATTCAGGAGTAAAAATCTGTTAGTTTTGGATGAGGCTGGTGCTTGGATTTGGGTGTTGTTGTCTACCACCTTGTTCGTTGACAAAGGTGGTAGTAGAGTGAGTCCCAAGCTCCTAGCTGAGGTGCTCGACGGCTATGATGCCATTGGGGGTTACTCATGGGGATCAGCAACGCTGGCAAACTTGTGCCGACAGTTGGGTATTGCTAGCAGAGGGGACTCACATGGACTGTCTGGCTGCTTGACTCTTCTGCAGTCGTGGATATATGAGTATTTCCCCGATTTCCGACCCAGGAACTCTACCCCTCGGTGAAGGTGACGTCGCACAATCTCGGATGTGGAGCGCAGGGGTGGGTCAAAGGTCAGAAGGGTGTCTCACATCTATCCGTCAGCGCCTTGACAGACTCACTGCCTCCGATGTACGTTAAGTTATTTTATTTAAATTTAGTTACTCGTTATTTAAAATAATATAAATATTTTTTAAATGCTTTTATGAAATTGTGAACAGGTGCAATGGTTGCGATACGACAGCTCGAGGCCACATGAGATAGAGCCGAGGACTCTTTATTGCGGATTAATTCGATACCGCAATATTGTCGAGTCGTACTTTCCTGTGCGGTTTCTGCGCCAGTTGGGATATGACCAGACCATCCCTCCCCCTATGTTCACGCCAATCGCTGCCAACCATGCTTGGGAGTCGAGGCTCTACAAGGTTGAGCATTCTGATGTCGCTGCAGTATCTACGTGGAACCAGTTCTGGACTTCGCAGACCGTCAACACCAGTATGTACTCGGTCACCACAGATGATCGAAGGAAGGCGACTGCGGAGTACTTGCAATGGTACCGTCAAGTTTTCCATCCTACTGTCTTGGGCAAGAATGTGCCTGGCGAGAACGAGGTCCATACGCGTGCCAATGCCGACTATGTAAGTCGTTTGCTAAAATTTAGTTAATGCCCAATAATTTTATTTTAATAAATATTTATCATATCTTTTTATTCTTTCATTTTTTGTAGTGGGTAGACCGTTTTGCCCGGATTACATCGGACTATGTGCGAGATTTCACAGATTTTGATCATGTGCTGGTGGCAAAGTACGCAGTCAATTCAAAATAATGATGTGATGAATGCTTTTTTTTTATTGTAAAACATTAATGAGATTGTTGTGCATTATTTATTTTTGTTAGACTACATTATTTGAACTCAAATGAATGGCGATAAATAAAAATTCCACAGGAGACGAATGAAGTCGCACGAGTCATGAGGGTGACCTACATGTGTCGTGTTGTAGCCGCACGAGTCATGTAGAAGACTCACAGGACTCGTGTGAAGCCACACGAGTCGTGTGCCCCACTCACACGACTCGTGTGGGTCATCCACACGACTCGTGTAGCTTCACAACAAAACCCTAATTTGTTTCGAGTTTTCCACACGAGTCGTGTGGGTGCCCTGTACCACTTATGGGGCATTCTCGTATTTTGCATGCAATTGAGCTATGGCAGCGTCGTACTCATCGAACTTATTGGCATCGACAATCACCTTCCACCTACCGCGCAAGAACCTCTGAGATAAATTTTTATTTTTTCCAATCAGCGTGTAGACTCTGTCTTCCACATCCTTGTTGATGTGCCACGTGCAAAGTAAATGGGCAGATTGGGGAAAGTTCCTCCTAATAGGAGCCATTAAGCCCAACTCTCTGTCAGTGACAACCGCATTAGGATGTACCTGAGAGCCTATCAGAAGTCTCAGCTTATAGAGAACCCAATCATAACTGGCCTCTTTCTCGTCCTTCATGAATGCATACGCAATTAAGAAGTTATTGTTGCACGGCGTCATGCCAATCATCTCGACCAACGGCATTTTGTACCTGTGCAAATGAGACCAAAAGACAAAAAATATAATCACATAAAATTTAATCGAACATACTAATTAAAATTCATACTAACAACGTGTAACGCCGTAATATTTTAAATAATCATTATGTTGTAAATAGCTTGAGTGTAAGCTAATTCATAGTATCAAATGCTCGAGATTAGTTTTCCAGAGTAAATTAATCAATATGAAAGTTACAAGTTCAAGATTTAAACGAGAAATATTTAGATTAGATTATATATCAAAGCCGATTATGTTAACAAAAGCCTCGATTTATTGTCTATCATGGAAAATAAATAGTAACAATCGAGAAAAGATTCGAATCCAAGAGTATTCGAATGATTGTAGAAAATCGGGTTTAAAAATATAAGCCAAGTTAAGGTTGGTTCGAGTCCCGACCCGAGCCACACTGCACGGCCCAACATGCACGCGAGAACTAGTACATTAGTACACAAGGCGGCCCAACAAATCATGCGCAGCCAAGTGTGTCGCACCTCATCATACTTCGCTCAAGCCATGATCGAGCAACCTTCACGCAACCACGGGTGTTAGCGCATCCTCGGCCCATACCATCTCGCGCGCAGCCCGTATCGCAGTCCAGGGCGTGACTCGTAGTGCAGTCCAGTATAGCCGAACGCAACAGCTAGCGCGGCCCAGCGCACGGCCTGCAGTGCAGACAGAGCGCAGTCCAGCGCCAGCAAGGCCAACCGAGGCCCAAACCATGTTTAGACAAATTTTCTCGGGCAACTTGAGTTTGACCACGAGATAAGTGAAGAGTAAGGCCAGACAAACCTCACCCTATCTTACCTTCGCACTATTACCAAGGAGGATGAGATGAGGTGTGAGGAAAAGGCCAAACTTTCATATTTTAATGCAAATAGTCTCGAATACCGAACCAAACCGAAAAATAAAAATCTTTGAACCAAGCCGAACCGACTTTTTGATACGGTTCCGGAGATCGAATTTTGGAATCTCCGAACTTTGGTACGATTCTGGAGATTTATCAATCTCCGAATCGTACCGACCCACGCTCACCCCTAATAATTTGTATGGAAAATTTTTTGTTCTTTGGGTATGTGCTTTGTTAGTATCATGTTGGTTTGTTGAATTTTAGATTTTTGGAGGCTACTTTGAAAATCACAAAATTAAGATAATTCTTTGGGCCTTACTTTGTATAATTCATAAGAGAATTTCCTCCCGAGAATTAAGATATATTTATTCCTAAAAAATTCAATTGGATGGTGTGTTACGAGAGAATCAAATAATTGAATTAAAATTGGATAAAAAAAAAAATACATTGACAACAATGAAAATGTAAAAAAAAAAAAAAAAAGTCAAACCCATGTAAATTTACATTTACAATGCTCATATTTCTATCATCAGTATCCAAACACTATTAGAGGCATCAAAATCACATATAGATAATAATACCATCGGAAAAATATATATATTCCAGCGTTGTTGGAAGTGAAGAAACTAATCAATCTATGGGATGCTTGTCCGCTTGACGAGACGTGTAATGCGCAGACAGCAATAGCAGAGAAAGGAAAGCGCTCGCCACAAATATCGCGTCGAACCACCGGTGATAAAAGTCGAATTGAATATCACCACCCAGTACATCTGTAATAATCATCCTATTTTAAACAACAAACACAAAATTTTAATACATAATAAAAAGATATATCATAGCAAGTTAAATTTAGAGGTGGCAAGGGTCGGCCCAGACCACTGACCCGGCTCGGAACCAGCCTGGCTCTACGGGTCTTGGGACCGGACCCGTGGTAAAAGCGGGCCAGTTCCAGGTCCAGCTTTCAAAGCCCGGCGACCTGCTGGGCTGGGCCAGGCTGGGTCATGAACCGGCCCGGGTGATGCACACACATCTGTAAGGGTAGGGTAGGGTACAGTTTATCTGCCAATACAGACGCGCATACACACACATACTAGAAAGACCGATGCACACATACACCCTAAAAAAAGATTAGGGCAGCACATGAATGATAAACATTACCTGTATTCTGTTGCCAAGCTTTTCCTAATTAGTAATATTGAGGAAACAAAATACATTCCCATAATTTCGGAGAGGAAAAGGACAACATTGCTTGAGGATCCACTACCAACTCTCGAAACAGCGAAAAAGAACTGCTGAAAATGACGGTGATTAAAATTATTTCTCAAGGTGAATCCAAATTATAGAAAAGAAACTGAAAAAAAAATATTCAAGACCTTGAAGAGAGATTAAATAGTTTTTCGTGTAGGGTAACAATGTAGCACAATTTTGATCAGGAAAAAGGCATAAAGACTTACCTTCATCAAATTCGTTAAGAATCCCCGTACAGAAATTACTATCAGCATCCCAATGAACAGAAGGGAAATGTACTGCACAGCACAATACAAACCATGTCATTCGAGAAAGTTAAAAACAGTAAGGTATTAAATGATATCATTAATTTTCCTTTGAATATTTTTATGCATGCAGCACAACCTAATAGAAATGAGTAGGTCATTCAATCTCTATATTAAACACATTGTCAGCTGTCTCTAATAAAAGTTTGAATATATCTTTCAAATTGTTTAAAGATATTTTATTCGACAAATGATGCAAAAATCATTTTTATGTTGGGAAAAGGTTTTTCGTACACACACACCAAGCAAAGTAAAAATGGAAGAATAAAACATTATTTCAAACTAAGAGTCCATATTATGGGTTCAACATAATGACATTCAACAACCAACTCAAAAATATAAACCATATCTTTAGCCATTGCAGGCTCTACATGGAGATGAAAACCAGTAAAAAGCAGCAACACTAACCTGTGATAACAAAGTCACGTTGATGCCTATGTCAAAAAACTGCAGAAATATGCTGACTGTTCTCGTCACAGGATCAACTGAACCAGCCTGACAAGAGAGTTTTCTCCATTAAATTACTGTAAACTTTTCTGTAGTCTGACGATGGACATCATAAGACTAATAGAGTATTAATAAATTGAATGGAACGGAAAGAGGATTTAACATACCTCCTTGAAAACAACACTTTGCAAAGACTGCAAAACAAAGGAAACATGTATACATAAACAATCGATACATCCAGAATACAAATACAACAGAGTATGGAACTGTCATTCATGAATTGTAACAGAAACAAAAAAAGATTATATCAATCTTATAAAATGAAACAAAACTCAAAATTACCTTTATCATTTTGTATACACAATAAACTGAACAAACATAACCCAAAAGATTCTGTAAGTGACCCTTCCAGGTTCTAGAATAAGTAGCGGCTTCCTGCAACGATTGCAATAATATTCAGAAAGATTTTCATAAGTGATTGCACTGTGTTCTAGTGTAATCTTTGATTTGCAACATACAGGAAAGGTTACATGCACTGAGTATACCTTAGCTTGGCGAAGCTCATAAACTTCTAAAAATAGTTGCTTCGAGAGCTCTTCTAAAGCATGTACCTCCGCTTCCATGGTTTTGATATCTGAACAATAAAATAAAATAAAATAAAATAAAATAAAATAAAATAAAAAATCACAACAGTTAAGCAGTAGAATTACCAAAATATACTAAGTACACGTCATAAGATTAATTCAGGACCATTATGTTTTAATGTTATAGCAACCATTCAAAATATTTTTTTGGTAAATGATTCCATTAATTAAGGGTGAGCAAGATTGACAATAATATGTTCTTCACATATTCAAGTTGAAAGGACTAACTAAATAACGGAAAAATAAGGTATATCAACCCACCACCACCAAGAAATAAAATGACGCTATTATAAAATTTTGAAATTTTGTTCACTAAACAGATTAATACAAATGCTTCTTTGAAATGAATGCAAATTTAAGAAAATGAAAACACAAATAAGGTACAAAACTTATGAATTATATATTAATTCTAATTTGCCACAACATCCTAAAATGAGACCTAAAATGACTTCGACAATCTCCTTTCATAATTGCAAATTTTGAGTGCTATTTCTACTCCGATGGCTCCAGATGTGCATTTCTCTATATTTTCTATCAAAGAATTATAAATTAGCTCATGCCTCATTTGATTTCATAGTTGACACTAATTTTCACAGCCAAAAATATCTTCATGGTAGAAATTACTATAATAATATCCAAAATCCATGATGTGTTATAGATCATATATAACGAAATGTATAATTATAAAATTGTTCTAAGAAAAAACTTATTAGGAGAAAACATGATAAAAGGCAAAGAATTCAGGTTAGATAAATGATAGAAAAGGAGCATGTCATGGGCAAAAATCATGGATTGTTTATAGTCGCAGGCCAAATCCAAGGAACCAATCAGATTTAAAATGAAGGGGCTGATTTTATGGATCTAAATAGCACTAATCATGGAAGAGAATCTTACCTAATATATAGTAGTATAGCTAATTATATAAAGCCTCCTTAGATGAGGAAGGCATCAAAAATCATAATTCCTATGTTAGTACCTTGGAACAGGGAGTTTATTCATGTTGGTCTTTTCCCTAGTTTTCTTTCTTCTCCCTAGTTTTCTTTCTTCCTGTTGATCATATTGCAAAGTATCCATTTAGTTAATAATAAAACTCTTCCCTTTGTTACTTGGTTCTTTTCTCTAACAAATTGGTCCGACCTGCCGTGCGAGGTATGACATGAATGGAGTCCCGTGTTGAATCGTTGGAGAAGAGCCAAGTTGCTGTAAGCGAGGAACTCACCACCCTGCGGAACAACATGGACAGCCGATTTAATACACTTGAAACGGCAATAGCCAAGATCACCGATCTATTGAATAATAACAGTAGCAGCAACAACTTTTCAGAGAACATCTTTTCAGAGAGCAATACATCCAACCACCACAAATCTGCACTTCATGCCAATGTTTTCGACGAGTTAAAATCCACATCGAAGCACATTGATCTTCCGTGTTTTGATGGAACCGATCCTATTGGATGGATTGCGCGTGTTGAGCAATTTTTTCTTGTACACCACACGAAGGAAAACTTCAAAGTTGCCTCCGCATTCATCTGCATGGAAGGAGCAGCACTCCATTGGCTTCGATGGCTCCAGCAACAATCTCCAATGATTACCTGGGATCAATTGAAGGAAGAACTCTTTGACCAAGTCGGCGGGGGCATAGCAGCAAGTCCCAACGAACGCTTGGCTGCCTTACACCAAACAGGATCTCTGGATGATTACGCCAATGAATTTCGAGCGAGAGCAGCCCAAGTCCCAGGCCTGGATTCACAACTCAGCTAGGGTTTTTCTTAAATGTACTCAAAGAAGAAATAAGGGTCCGCTTGCGCCCATATGATGTGCTCGATCTACGAACGGCCATAAAAGTTGCTCGGTCTGTTGAACGAGAATTGGATTTCTTAAATTCCAAATCTGGAAGATTTACTACTGGGTATGGTTTAGGCTTCCAACCGAGGCCCATAAATCCTTCTCGTTTTGAACCACCAAAACTAAACAACTGGCTAAAATAAGAATTCTGCAGCCCAGTACAAGCCCAATGATCACTTCAAACTACTTCCAGGCGGCACAGGTTCCTCCTCTTCACAACTACCGCGACACAACACAACACAGAAAAGTAGAGTGGCACGCCAATACTCCCATCAAGAATATTTGGACATGCGTGCGAAGGGGTTGTGTTTTCGCTGCAAACAACCGTACAGCCCGATGCATGATTGCCCTCAAAAATCATTACGCGCTCTCATCGCAGCAGAAGACGAGATCACTGATATCATCTCCGATTTCGGACTAGAAGAATCCCAACAACATCAGGCAGAAACCAGTGAAGCTCAGCTCCATTTTCTAGATCTACCTTTGACGGCGATAGGTGGAATAGATGGACCACGGACAATCAAATTTTCAGGTCATGTGTACGGTGAACCAGTGACTATTATGGTAGATAGTGGGGCAAGCCACAACTTCATCTCAACCAAACTTGCTCAGAAAATTCCCCAACCAATAGAGCAGACAGTCCGCTTTGGGGTTCGCTTAGGAGATGGCAGTCGAGCAACTTCAACAGGGAAGTATAGCAATTTACCAATTCAACTTCAATCAATCACGATGTCATTAGATTGCTATATATTTCCTCTTGGAGGTATTGACGTCATTCTCGGCGTGGCATGGCTCCAAACATTAGGCGATATCAAAGCGAACTGGACAAAACTGAGTATTGAATTTTTGCGGGATAATGAAGAGATTTATCTGTTAGGGGACCCATCATTGTCACGTGCCCCTATCTCTTTGAGCTCATTGCAACAAATGGACGATGACATCGATTACTGCCTCTTGCTCTGGCAGATTACATCATCAACAGAGACTTCGGCCCTCAATTCCTCAAGCGCTCAGGTCCAAGAATTGGAACTAATATTGGAGCAATACAGTACAATTTTTGAAGAACCCCAAGGACTTCCCCCTGAAAGGAGACATGATCATCGCATCACCCTAAAATCGGGAACCGCAACAGCAAATGTGAAGCCCTACCGATATAGCCATCATCAAAAGGATGAAATTGAACGCCTGGTGAATGAAATGCTATTCGCTGGGATAATCCAACCAAGCTCCAGCCCTTTTTCCAGCCAATTCTACTTGTCAAAAAGAAAGACGGAAGTTGGCGATTTTGCGTCGACTATCGCGAACTAAACAAGGCTACTGTTCCTGATAAGTACCCAATTCCCATGATTAATGATATGCTTGATGAACTCCATGGAGCCGCTTTTTTCTCCAAGTTAGACCTCGAAGCAGGGTATCACCAAATTCGGGTCCATCCCTCAGACATAGCCAAGACAGCATTTCAAACACATTCCGGCCACTATGAATTCTTGGTCATGCCATTTGGATTGACAAATGCCCCAGCCACGTTTCAAGGCCTCATGAACGATGTCTTCTGTCCGTATTTGAGGAAATTTGTGCTTGTTTTCTTTGACGATATCCTTGTTTACAGTAAAACATGGGAGGCGCATATACAACACCTTCAGATTGTCTTCAGTGTTTTACTCGATAATCAACTCAAGGCTAATAAAAAAGAAGTGCCATTTTGGGAGGACATCAGTGGAGTATTTGGGACATGTTGTCTCAAGATCTGGGGTGTCCATGGATCCAAGTAAAATATCTAGTGTTATTAGGTGGCCACAACCTAAGTCAGTTAAAGGCGTACGAGGATTTCTAGGCCTCACGGGATATTATAAACGGTTTATTAAAAATTACAGCCAAATCGCAAGACCTCTCACAGAATTACTTAAAAAAGAGGTTGGGGACTTCACATGGACAGAGCCAGGACGCTTTCGAAAGATTGAAAATCGCCATCACCTCTTCTCCAGGTAATGCCTGACTTCAATAAAAGTTTTGTGATCGAATGTGATGTTTCAGGCGAAGGCGTGGGCGTAGTCTTGATGCAAGAGCAGCGGCCGATAGCATATTATAGTAAAGTACTCGAGTGTTGGCCAAAATGGCATACAAAAAAGAGTTAATGGCATTGGTTTTGGCAATTCAGCATTGGCGGCCTTATTTACTCGGTAGAAGATTTGAAATTCGCACCGACCATCGGAGCCTAAAGTACATTTTGCAACAACGGATCACAACTCCTTCTCAGCAAAATTGGTTGGCAAAACTCATGGGTTACGATTTTGAGATCACCTACAAACCGGGTGTAACAAATCAAGCAGCGGATGGTTTATCCAGACAATTTGAGGACAAGGATTTGGCAGCCATTTCTGTTCCCACATGGATTGACTGGGACAAACTTGATTCAGCCGTCCTCGAGGATGTGGAGTTACGGGCAATCATCGAGCAACTTCGACTGAATCCAAATAGCCAGCCACCATATCAGCTCGTTCATGGAAGATTATTTTACAAAGGTCGAATTGCCATTCCTGCTACTTCACCATGGGTGCAACAACTCTTGAACGAGTTTCATTCCACCCCAACAAGAGGCCACTCAGGTGCGTACCGTACATATCAGCGATTGGCAGCTAGCATTTATTGGCGAGGCATGATGAAACAGGTACAAAAATATGTTGCTGACTGCCTAATTTGCCAAAGGAATAAGTATGAAACGTTATCACCAGCTGGATTGCTCAACCCGCTCCCTATTCCTAATAACATCTGGGAAGATATATCGATGGACTTCATCACAGGTTTACCGCGATCTAATGGGTTTGATTGCATCTGGGTAGTAGTCGATCGACTTAGCAAATATGCACATTTCATTGGTCTTCGACATCCTTTCACTGCACGAACCTTAGCCGAATTTTTTGCTAAAGAAATTGTGCGTCTACACGGTGTCCCACGATCCATCGTCAGTGATCGAGACCCAATTTTCTTGAGCAATTTCTGGACTGAATTTTTCACTAAAATGGGAACCAAACTTCGCATGAGCACCAGCCTACCACCCGCAAACTGACGGACAGTCTGAAGTAACAAATCGTTGCGTGGAGCAATACCTGAGATGTTTTGCTTCAGAACAACCCAAGCAATGGGGTCGTTGGTTGCATTGGGCTGAATATTAGTTTAATAGCAGCTTTCATTCGGCGGCAGGCCGAACTCCATTTGAATATGTGTATGGCAGGCCACCACCCACTTTGCATCAGTTTATGCCGGGGGAATTCAAGGTTGCAGCCGTTGCGGAGGAGCATAATGATAGGGCATAATTGATCAAGCAGTTGCACTTTAACCTCACTAAAGCGCAACAACGGATGATTAACACTGCCAATCGCAAGAGACGGCCCTTAGAATTTGATGAGGGAGATCAAGTTCTTTTGAAACTTCGTCCCCATCGCCAGACCTCTATGGCAAATCGAGTCAATCAGAAGCTGGCTGCAAGGTATTATGGCCCATATCGCATTCTTCGAAAGTTGAGCCCCGTGGTTTACAAGTTAGAATTACCTGATGGAGCACGTATACACCCAGTTATCCACATCTCCCAGCTTAAGAAACTTAACGGGCAGCATGACGTCACCAAGGATTTACCTGAAGTGAAGCCTTGGCAGTAGAAGAAACAAGTTACACCCCACAAGACATACTGGATGCTCGAAAGCAGCTCGGCAGGGAGCAGGTCTTAGTTCAGTGGGAAGGTCGGCCGGCGGAGGAAGCAACTTGGGTTGATCTTTCGAATTTTATAGGGCAGTTTCCAAACTGCAGCCTTGTGGACAAGGCCAATTCTTTAGGGGGTGGCAATGATAGAAAAGGAGCATGTCATAGGGCAAAAATCATGGATTGTTTATAGTCGCAGGCCAAATTCAAGGAACCAATCAGATTTAAAATGAAGGGGCTGATTTTACGGATCTAAATAGCACTAATCATGGAAGAGAATCTTACCTAATATATAGTAGTATAGCTAATTATAAATAAAGCCTCCTTAGATGAGGAAGGCATCAGAAATCATAATTCCTATGTTAGTACCTGGGGACAGGGAGTCTGTTGGTCTTTTCCCTAGTTTTCTTTCTTCCTGTTGATCATATTGCAAAGTGTCCATTTAGTTAATAATAAAACTCTTCCCTTTGTTACTTGGTTCTTTTCTCTAACAATAAAGAACTCAATTTATGTTTTAATTTTCTTAAATTACGTTCGTTCTTTATATTGTTTTCAAAAATATACAATCATTAACTACTATATAAATGCAACATAATTTTTTTTTTTTTCAGAAGTCATGTTGGGCATGGCCCCATAACACGGGCTAGACATTCGACCATGGGGGAGAGTGATACACCCTTGAAAAATTCCCATGCATTCACCAATTCACCACAGGTTAGCAGCAGAAAAACAACTTGAACAGCCAGGCTATCATCATGAATAGCAAAAGATTTAGCTTGAGTTGTAGAGAGAAAGACTAAAAGAAGACGGATTCAAATATAATACATGTGCCTTTTGTTTGAGATTTAAAAGGATAAATTTACAATTACTAACCTTGTTCATTCTGATCATCCTGAACAGATCGAACAACAGTCCCAACTATTCGCTTTAGAAAGGACCTATTGTTTAATTTCTGTCACACAGAAACATAGCACCAATTATATATCAAGATCATATTAATCTAAGACAAGTTTATTTCACATTCTCCATGATGCAGTAAAAGCCATTACTATATTTACATGATTAGATTGCCTCAAGCAATAGTATGATAATCAAACAATGGATACCACTGATTGGTTTGAGTAACAATCAAAAGCGTCTGCCACAAAACTGCAAAGAAGTCTTTAAGCAGAAGTTGATCACATTTAACTACTACTAAATAATTCGTTTGCTTTCACTTTTTCTATTTGACTTCACCACATCATGTCAGAAACTTCTAGATTACAAATTAACCACAGAACAGTGAGAGGTTTAAATAATATTCAGACTCACACCAATTAAAAGTACAAAAACAAAGAATCCTTTCGAAGTGGCCCAAATGATTGGACAATGTATTGTGTTCAGTAATCTGAATTACTTTAGCTTTATAATTCATTTCTTCTTAGGTGACCTTTCCCACAGACACCAACAGTGGAAAATAGTACACACCCATACTTAGTTCAGAGACCAAACAGATGGAGAAAACCACCTCTAGGCTCTATCCATGTTTCTCATCCTCTTTCCGGAAAATCTTTGGTCAGGATTTGGTAGCGACATTATTTCCCATGTGAGACTTATTTGAGATTGGAGATTAATGGTTAGCTATTCTTTTTCGTTTCAGCAACACTTCCATTGTAAGTCAATTAAGAAGGATCCATTCATGTGTGTTAAAACAGTGATTTGATAAAGACAGTAACAGACTAAATGTGAGATAAAGCAATATGTTCAGAAGTCCAAATAGTTCATAGGAGACGAATCATTCGACCACTTTTTTTTTCTATTTTTTTTTTTTTTTTCAAATGAGAATGAATCATTTGACCACTTGTAAGGTCAATATGTAGCATTATCTTAACTGTTTGTTCATGACCAAATTTCTTCACATGTATCTCTAGATAAAAGGACATATACCCATCCAATACTATATAACTTAGAAAAGAAAGCCTCAGGTATTAAGTCAAAAAATCTCGCATATACATCCAAAAACATAGTACATAAGTACAAAAATTTGTGAACCTCTTCCGAGCCTTGTTTTCGCTCCATCTCCATTTGACAGAGAATAATCTTCTTTTTCTTGGAAATGCACGTCTCGATTGACTGCATTAACTGCCTTTCCAGTGCCTTAATTTCTGTTTCCTCAATTTCTCTTCAATTAGGGAAAAAGAGTACATTAAACAAATTTGATAAAGAGAGACACAACAGGTAAATGCAGAATGGTTTTAACTTCTAAAGAAGGATTTCGTATAGAAAGCTCCACGCAATACCATACTAAATTCAGCAACACTATCGATAAATTTCAATCTTAGCAAGCAAGTCAAAAGTCAAGAACTGGCCTCTGAAAGAATTTCCATCTCGGTCTGTTGGGGGCAATTATTACAATACAGGGTTCAAGGTTGTTCACAGAAATTCAGTTCAGAAGCCCATATTTGGAAAAGAGTCCTGAAGCTCCAAATAGCAAGGACAAAACGTGACTGTAGCACGTGGAATCTTTAAGATCATATGGTATTGCAAATGGCATGTAAAACCAGTGAGCGCTTAACATCACAGAAGTGATAAAAGTTTAAGCATATCTGGGGTAAGCCCTTAACATTTTTGCTTCTGAGTCATGGTCCAAAGACAAAAGCCAAGGGAAATTCAGCTTTTCTGCTTAGATAAATCCAATCCAACAGGTGTTGTTGCTTTTACCGTATAAAGAGGGACAGATAGCTGTATGGCAAATTTACTGCTCCAAACCCAGACAGTACAGCCATAACTGTGACACCAATGACCCCAATTCTGCTCACAAGCTGAGGGATGGTGAAGAATCCTGAAAAATGACATCTCGAGGATAAAAATATAAGCCACGATATAATCTATTAAAAGAAATCTTGTCAACCAAAGCCAAAATAAGAAGGTGGACTGATTTGAACAAAACAAAAGAATGTTTCTACAAATTGTTAGAATGTTAGAGCAGTAACATCTATAGCCAAAAATGCATTTGAAATACAAACCAAAATCAAAGGCAACTGAACAACAAATTTGGAAAGGATCTTATGCGCGGAATTTAAGCCCCTTGCCAGACAATTTAAAACTAACCTTTATCTGGAGATGGCATAGGAAAGTGAACACCCATTCTCCAGAAACCATAAAGAAAGGCCAACAAGAATAAAATAGCACCAAGTGAAGCACGTTCTTTTCTAATACCTGAAACCAAAAGTTGACAACATAAATGAATCACTGACAAAAATTACAGGCACACAAGAAAATGTGGGAGGAAAATAAACCACATTTACCCTTGGTAAGTTTTTCCCTTGAACTATGTGGCAAACATGAAAGGTGAAGATTAAACTTTAGTGCTAAGGTAATTACAGAACAAGCTCAAATCTACATCATATTCAAATATGAAAGCAGTGGAATTACATAATGCCATAAAAGAAAGTTGAAGAAAAGAATTACAAAATCAGCCCAGCATCTCATGCACGCAGAACTTTGTATCCGCTCCCCTCATTTTGATGAACTCACAATATAGACAAGGCAGTACAATATAGAGATAAGAAGAGAAAGAAAATCTTAAATACAAGACAGAGCTGTCAAACTTACCACTGTTACAAAGCATCAGATAGCAATGATAATATGGCAGCATGAAAACGAGTAACATTATTAGACAAAACAAATCCACCTTCCAATTCATCCATCTTGCCCTACAGACAACAGAACGTATGGCAAAGGCCACATCAGATCAAAAGCTTACCCAAAAATGTGAACCAAGATCATTGGTGCTTAACGTGATCCAAGTAAAAACCACCAACTAACTCAGAGTTCAGATGCACAAATGTAATAAATGAAGAGCAACGCTTAATCCCAACCAAAGAGGATTAATCCAAGTAAAAACCACCTACTACACAAATACAACAACACTGAAATTGCTTACTCTTTTGACAGAATAGGAATAATCTCGAAGAGGACAAGCTGGAAGAGATTGCAGGAGAAGGCAAAGACAACGCTGAATATGATCTGAACCAAGACCCGCTTCTCTTCATACTCCTTGTAAAGCCGCCGGTTCAAAAACCAAAGGCCGCCCCAACCCAGCAACAGCAACGACCCCACCGCCACCACTCCTTCGTACGCCGCCCTTCCCCACCCCATCAATATGTATATACTGTCTCAACCACTCTACAGTATGCGCCCTGCTCTCCCTATTTGAAATTAAGTTTGCACTGGATCTGACCACCTCAGATTAACGATTCCATTCTTCGAAACCACGGCACCATGGATTTCACAGTTGTCGCGAATTGGAAAGCTCTGGCACAGTGACAATGGCTGATTGTCTTAGAAGAACCCCAAAATAAACATACAATTTCAGTGGATCGATCAAAAGATAGATTCAGATGCAAGAATGCTTGATAGTCGATTTTTTAGCGCAGTATAATAATGGATTACAAGTCTCGCACAATTCACATATTTCACAAACTTCGCAATCGTTTCCATTTGATTTGTATAAAAGGTTGTAAAAAAAACGACCGGATTGGCAGATGAACCGTCACCAAATTTGGTTCTTACTACAAAGAACCATTGAAAATCTTGTCTGACATAATTAACCGGTCAGAAACCAATATTGTCGGATCAATATATTCTTTTTAAGTTTATATTATATATTCTCACGTAGGGAAGTGTGTAGTCCGTTGGGGAGTTTTATTTTCCAGGTGTGGAGTTTGTTTCATTTTTTTATGTTGTTGGTAGGTGCATTTGTTGTAGGGGTAAAATATGTGGTTGCCCTCTGTATTTAACAAAATGTGCGTGTTTTTACCCTGTGTTTTAAAAAATCCACCAGACCTCCTTATGTTTGAGTAATTGTTGCACGATTCCCCTATTTCGTCCAATTTAACGGCGTGTGTAAGGCACCTTCTCCAGCTGCGAATTATTCAATTTTTTAATTTTACAGAATTATTAATCTACATTTATACCCTCCTGAATTGTATTGCAAAAACTAAAATTATAGTAAGTGTGGGAGGTAGGATTCGAACCAAGGTCTCAAGGGTAAAAGAAGCCCACCACAGTGGTTGTGGAAACTACTGAACATAAAAATATTTATAATATGATACAAAAACTAATTAAATAAAATAAAATTAGAGTAAATAAAATCTAATAAAGTATAATAGGTACATTAAATATAAAATAAATAATTAATAATGATAATAATAATAATAGCTTTCAATAAATCAAATTAATATAAAAATAATGATAAAATAAAATTAAAATAAAGTAAGATAAAATTTGATATAGTAATGTGATTAAAATTAAATAAATTTATATTTATAATTATTAAAATGAATTTAACTATATAAATTTAAATGAAAAAATAAATTAAAAATAAGTATAATTAAAATATTCTAATTTAAATAAAAATAAAAATAATAATTATATAAGATAATAAAGTATAAAAATTAAAAATAAAATAAATAACCAAATAACTTAATATAAAATAATAAATTGAAAAATTAAAAAACTTAAATTAATATAAAAAATTAAATTATATATACATTTCGAAATGAAAAATAATAAAATAATGAAAATTAAAAATAAATTAAATTAAAATAAGCTAATTAAAATAAAATGGAAATAATATTTATATAAGATAATAGAGTATAAAATTGGTTAAAGTAAAATAACTTATGTGAAATATTAAATTAAAAGAAATAAAAATCTTAAATTAATATAATAAAAAAATTAAAGTTTATCAATTGATTTTAATATGATTTACTATTACATACAATATGAAAGGAAAAATTGAAATAAATTATAATTTTTCAGTAAATGATTTAATTATTAATAAATAATTTTAATTTCTAAATTGTTTTAGTAAAATTTATTTTAATATTATTTCATTGTCTTAAGTTAAACAAAATAAATATAGTTCGTTCAATAAGATAAAATAAAATAAATAATGCAACAAAATAATATCGAATAATATAAAATACAAACTATATGAAAATAATCTAAATAAAACAATACATATATTTTCACTGTAATTTTTTATATTTATTTATAATTTATTTTAATTGTTTCCCTTTAATCTAATAAGTTATAAATAACTTTTTTTTTCATTTAATTTTATATAATTCAGTTTATTATATTTTAATTTATCATAAGTTTATATTTTAAAATTTTAATCTGATATAATTTACATTATCTTTTAAAATTTAATTTCATTTATTCATAGTAATGTGTGTATATATTAAACATTCCTATATTTAATACTGAACCTTTGTTTTTTTCATTTGTAGAGATACCATTACTAGAAATCAGCTCTTCCTCTGCGCGTAACCCTACCCCCAAATTAGCTCATCCTCCAAATACGCTCTCTTTGTCTCCCCCGACGACGGCAACGTCACGGCAACGTCACGGCCAGGGGTCGTCCTTGACCACCTGGCCCTCTCCTGGTAAGCGTGGGTCCGTTTAAGCCTTGGATGCTCCGCGGTTGGGGTCCGGTCGATTGGCGGCAGAGGTGTCTTCGGTTGGCGGCGGCGGCCTCCAGGTTCTGCATCTTGCAGGTGGTTCGAGTATTCGTCTCAATTGCCGGTGGGAGTTGCTCTGTGAAGGTAAGTCCGATCAATTTCCCCTTTTCTACTGTCGATTGGATTGNNNCTCCGGCGGGCTTGCCTGCTCCGGTGGGGCTGGGTTTCTGGTCGTCGGAGCTCTGCGGTTGTATGGAGTGGCGCACTTACTGAGGGGTGGGACGAGGCTCCAGTTGCTGCAGCTTGGCTGTCGCGGCGGTTGGGGTTAAGGGTGCGATTTACCTTTGCGCGAGCCCGCCTGCCAAGTGATGTTAGGCGGCGTGGGAACAGGTTCTTTCGAGCTCGTCGAGTTCGGGTGGGGCCGGTGTGAGGGTCGGTCGCGACTCTTTTGGTTGACGATTGGTCGATTTTGGGATCAATGCGGGGCTCGGTTTCTTCTACTGTATATGCAGTATGCAGTTTCGGTAGCAGATTCTCGAGCTGGGATCTTTCTTTTGTCGATCGTTCACTGCTGGTTGGGATTGTTTGTTCGCTAGGGGAGGGCTCTGTTGGTTTTTTTTTCCTTTAGGTTGTTATTCTTGTTTTGTTGTGTTTGTCTTGTCTATGTTTGTTTAGTGTTTGTGATTGTGTTTTAGGTTTGGACCGTTGGCCATTGTTCGCTCGGGTATCAAATTTATTATCCTATTGGGATCCGACACTCGGGTATTACCCTGTTGGGGTCTTTTCTAGTTGTTTTAGTTGTTCGAGTTGTTGTTTGGAGTTTTTATTCTAGTGTTGCTAGCCATTTAGTTTAGTTGAGACCTCACATTTGTGCACTTTTGATTTATAATAATATTTGTCGTTTTGGAAAAAAACACTCAACCTTGAGTGGTGCAGTGGTTGCATTGCTCTCCATGCTCACATGAGGTCTCATGTTCGAAACTCAGCGACATAAATTTTTTTGTTATTCAATTTCTCACGATATATTCAATATATCGTGATAAATTCAATTTATCATGAATATCAATATAATATTCAAAGGGTATAAGGGGGATTTTGAAAAAACAATAACCCCATTAATGGGAAAACAGTAACAAGGGAGCGTGTGCACCAATTACTTAAATATAAGGCGGTACGGTGCATTTTTTAAAACACGGTGGAAAAACGCGCACATTTAGCAAAAATACAGGGGATTTGGTGCAAGTTACCCTTTGTTCTAGTGTCATTTCTAGGCGATCCTCTGAATTTGTCCTCCCACTAGATTCGACTTTTGAGCTGTCCTTCCGGCTTTTGAATTGATTTCTAGATGTATGTATGTGTTTTTTCTTATATAAAATTTATATCGTTTGAAAAAATAAAGTTTATATTATATATAAAAATTAGTTTCAATATCATTAACTTCACTTTAAATAAAAATAGAAATATATTTAGTATTTGAATATGTCTAAATTAGTTCATAAATGATTTAATCATTTGCATGTTTTAATTATATTAAAATTCAATTGAATATGTTTTTATATATAATTCAGGGTACATAGCGAATTCATTTCTCATATTAAGGTGTAATTTTAATATTACCCCACATTCGAACTACCTCAATTTTAGTACCTTAAGATCATGTTTGCTTTCCTAGACAAGACAAAATTATGCTCCTAATTGACATGCGTCATTTTTACGTGCATTTTAAAGTAATTTTCGTGTCTGTTTCGTTGTTGTTTAATATTAATTAATTATTTAATTAATCAATTTTATTAATCTATAATGAAGTATTTTATTTTAAATTTTAACAGGAAATGGGGCCAAAATAATTATTGAAATCAATTATAAATGGACTCAATTACAATTACATGGACAATGAAATTCATTTTATTGGGCTGCTGGCATTCCATCAAGGCCCAAATGCAAATTATAAATTAACTAAAGACCTACATAAGTCCAAAGGCTATTTAAGTGAGGGTAAATGGGTAACTCCAGCAGTCCATCATCTCCCTCAAGCTTTACACATTTCACGTACGAGGACATGTTCACGTCCGCCATGAAAGCTGCTGAAGTTTCTTTGTTCGTCCGCCACCACGCCACTACCCAGCCACCGGAGACCACTTTCAGATCGACGTCTCCATCATCCACTAGAGAAGCCGGTTGGACGTCAAATTCGCGCCGGAGAGATGAGCTGCCGGAAGCTGCTGCTACACCTTCATCCACGCGGGTGGCCGGAGTTGCCGAATCACTACCGGAACTGCCATGTTATACGTCTATCATCTGTACTAAGCACTTTTGTGGGGCTTAAAACGCAGCAGGAGAAAAGCTACTGTCGGAAGTTAGCCGGAATCCGACATCTCCGACGAACTGAGGCTGAAAATGACGACCCAGAGCCCGCCTTTTACGTGATTTGTTACCAGGATCCGTGAGCTACCCGTAACATGAAGTTCCCGGCCAGAAAAACGAAGTTTTCCACTTTTTTGGACGCCCAGTGTCACACGGGTCGTGTGGCGACCGACACGCTCGTGTCGTTCCAAGGGACTCGTTTTCACACGACTCGTGTGACTTATGACACGAGTCGTGTGACCCTGGGTGCGACTTATACGCGTTTTGCGCGTTTTTTTTCCTGATTTTCGACCTATTTCGATTAGGACTCGACCCCAACTATATATGTCACACTTGGACACGTTTTTGAGGATTCTGGGACATATTTTTCAGATGTTTGGAGAGTTTTGGAGGCTAGAAATACGAGCAAGACGAGGGATAAAGCCAGGAAAAAGGGATCAACGGAGCCGAATAAGCTTTTTCTTTTTTTTTTTCTTCCTCTTTCGAACTCAATCTTTTATATCTATTTTTCTTACTTTGAAAATATGTTTCTAGGCTAGATTTATATATTCTAGGATTTGTTAGTACTCGGATTGATTTATGAATTAATTTTTATTTATTTCATTCAGGTTCATCTTTCGTTTATAAATTTCTTGTGCTTATGATTATTGTGTGACTAGACGGCCGCTATGAATGCATATTTGTAATTGATTTGAGACCTGATTTGAGACCGAGAGGGCATAATTGATTGCTAGACTTGGAAAATTTATAACGTTGGAGACTAAACAGATCGAGAGGTTGATAGCATCTTGCTAGAGAACGAAAATCCTAGGAACTTATGGGAGCTAGTTGTTCATCTTGAAACCGAGAGGAGATAGATAACAATTAATATCTATGATTTACTTGTTCGAGAGAAAGTTTGAAATTAATTTAGCAATTATTTATATTATTGGTAAAATTAAATAAGGTTTGCATGAATATAAACGTTTCATGAATTAATTTCGAGGAACGCTTAGCCTAGAATCTATCTTTTGTATCTTATTTTATTTTGATTATTTTAGATAAATTAGCTCTTAGTTTAATTTCTTAGTTGATAATCATCATCTCGTTCATTAGTCTAAATAATATTTAATCGTCATTATTTTAGTACTTAATTAATTTAACCACAATCTTTGTGGAATATGACCTTGCTCGCCACTACCTATAGCTACGCCGTATACTTGCGAATAGCGAAAATAGTTTCCAAGTGGGGACCATGTACTGTGTATCTCATGGCTTTTAATTGCTTATAATGTTTGAGGTATTTGTGCAAATAGATTGAAGGATCGAGACGGATGAGTGATCCAGTCTTGGTCAAGATTTCAGATGTCAGTTATGACTTGGATGAGTTGGTGATGCTCAACCTAAGTCTAGCGTCCAGATGAGTGGGCGATGCCCAGCCTGGATTTCTATGGGAGGGGACCCCAGTGTGTGCACATGAGTACCGGTTTACCGTTAGTCCCATAGTTGGCCAGTTTATTTATGCTTATGTCGATTCCATGATTGACATTAAATGTGATGACTATGCAGTGCCGGTCCCGGTGGAGCACTGTTGATTTGTTTGTGCTCACACCTCCCCACTACCCTATTTTTCAAGTGATGGAGTCCCGCGTGACGCGTGAGCAGATATGTGGTGTTGGTCCAACTTCAGTACATTTATGTGAAAACATGTCATTTAGTATTTGAACATGTTTGAATTATCTATGTTTGTTTTATGCTTGTGTGTTTTTCTGAACTTGTACTTGCTTCCGCATGTTAGACTTGTGTTTCATATGTCAGATTTCATACTAGTATTTCAGATGTCAGATTATGTCAGATTTTCAGAATATGCATGTTTAATCCGGTATTATTCATGGCCTTAATTCTAGAATGGATTTTACTTGGTTACATGCAAGTTAGATTAATGAGTTAAAGATAAAGATTAAGGTTAAGTAGCATCCCGCGTGGAAAAATTGGAGATTTAATCCTGTAAGTGGCACCCATTTGAGGTTTGATCCTCTTCGATGCCCACTTTTGGATCACGTCCCGTAAGTGCCAAAAATCGTGAGAAATGGTCCTGCCACCAGCTAAAGCCGGTAATTCTTACCGGATAGCTGACGTGGAATTTTTACTATTTTTTTTTTTTTTTTGAGTTGTAAGGCTGACTTGGAAAATTATGTGGCATATTTACAAAAACGATATAGAGGAGGGGGGTTCGAACCCGGGTTAATGAGTATGCAAGTGAGCTTATGAGCCACTTGACTGAAGACAACTAATATTAATTTTGGGAATTCATTTATATATCTATCAAGAATATTTTATTATATATTTAGTTACCTTGGTTAATTAAACTTTTATTATCGTTAATGTTGTTTTTATACTAATTTATGTTATTAAATTTTATTAATGTTTTTATATATTATTCCACCATGCCCCACTTGTGGATGACTCCATCGCGGAGAGTGTCGCGTTGTCCAGGATATTTGTTATTATTGTCACGAGCCCGGACATTTTGCTAATCGTTGTCCGAAGAAACTCAAGCAGCCACCACAGCAGCCCCAACAACCACAGCAGCAGCAGCAACCCCGACAACAGGCTCAGAGGCCACCCCAGCAGCAGCAGAGGGGCAGACAGCAGGCACGAGTTTATGCGGTCAATCAGGCCGAGGCGGAACAACAACCAGGTACCATGTCAGGGATGCTTATGCTTAACGATGTTCCTGTTTTTGCCTTGTTTGATACTGGACCAACTCACTCTTTTATATCACGACGATGTCTTAATGCCATCGGAGTACATGCTATTACCGCTGTCGATCCTCTTGAGGTGAGTTTAGCCTCGGGACGAAAGATAGTGACTACTGCTAAAGCTACAGATCTCAGCCTTTCTATCAGTGGCCGTAAATTGTCTACTGACGCTTATGTTCTTGAGATGAGGGATTTTGACCTCATTCTCGGCATGGATTGGCTATCATATTTTCATGCAGATATTCGATGCCATGACCGGGAGATTACTCTTTATCTTTCGGGAAATGATTCTATTACTTTCTTTGGCACCAAGACTCGTTCCTTGCCTCATGTTATTTCTATGGCAAAAGCCAAAAAGTTGATACGACGAGGCGATTGTCAGGGTTATCTTGTGAGCCTTATCGATGATTCACCGAAGGCACGAACACCTCACGACGTTCCTGTTGTTCGTGAGTTTGCGGACGTGTTTTCGGACGAACTTCCAGGAGGACCACCTAACCGGCAGGTAGAGTTCTCTATCGACCTTATTCCAAGAGTCGGCCCAGTTTCCAAAGCCCCTAAAAGAATGGCGCCGAAAGAATTGCAAGAGCTTAAGGCGCAAATTCAGGAATTTTTGCGACTCGGTTTCATCCGACCGAGCGTTTCACCATGGGGAGCACCCGTTCTTTTCATTAAAAAGAAGGACAACTCTATGCGCATGTGTATCGACTACCGAGATCTTAACCGGTTGACGATCAAGAATAAATATCCGCTTCCCAGAATTGACGATTTATTTGACTAGCTGAGGGGAGCTTGTGTTTTCTCCAAGATTGATTTACGATCAGACTACCATCAGCTGAAAATCAAGGAGTCAGACATTGCTAAGACCGCTTTCCGTACTCGCTACGGTCATTATGAGTTTGTTGTCATGCCATTTGGCCTCAGTAACGCTCCAGCGGTTTTCATGGACCTGATGAACCGTATTTTCCATCCTTACCTCGATCAATTTGTTATTGTTTTCATTGATGATATTCTTATCTACTCCAGGAGCCAGAAGGAACACGAGGAGCATCTGAGGGTTGTCCTTGAAACCCTTAGACGAGAAAAGTTATATGCTAAATTCTCCAAATGCGAATTCTGGCTCCAGCGAGTAGCCTTTCTTGGCCATGTTATTACTCAGGCAGGTATCGACGTTGATCCATCCAAAGTTGCCGCTGTTCAGAACTGGTCGACACCGAAGACTCCATCCGAGGTTCGCAGTTTTCTCAGTTTGGCTGGCTATTACCGCAGATTCATTGAGGGCTTTTCCAAGATTGCCCTTCCTTTATCCCAGCTGAGGAGGAAGTCTGTGAAGTTCGAGTGGACTGATCGATGTGAATTGAGCTTTCAGAAGCTCAAGAAGAGGCTAACCACAACACCGGTGTTGACTATTCACGATCCTTCTCGAAGTTTCACCATTTTCAGTGATGCTTCAAGACAGAGTTTGGGATGCGTACTCATGCAGGATGGCCAGGTCATTGCTTACGCTTCACGCCAGCTAAAGCCAAATGAACAGAACTATCCGATGCACGATTTAGAGCTAGCCGCAGTTGTTCACGCCCTCAAAATTTGGCGACATTATTTATACGGCGGTCGATGCGAAATTTTCACAGAACATAAGAGCTTACAATATATTTTCACTCAGAAGGAGCTCAAAATGAGACGGCGCCGTTGGTTGGAACTCGTCAAGGATTATGATTGCACGATTCAGTACCATCCGGGGAAGATGAATGTCGTCGCTGATGCCCTAAGCCGTAAGGTGAAGCGTGACTTGACGTATGTTGTTACTCAGCAAAGTCGTCTTATCCGTGGGGCGTCGGGCATAGCTGATGACGGATCGTGTGTTGCGTTACCCTTTACTTGTCTTGATCACGGCTTCGCCACGGCCTTGCTCTCGACGATAGGTGTGATCGACTCGGTTATTAGCCTAACTCTCTCACGATACTTGAGTTCACTCAGGTCTTAGCCTCACTCACTCTTTTGAACTAGCTCGGGTCTTAGCCTCACTAACTCGGTTGAACTGGCTTGGGTCTTAGCCTCACCAATTCGGTTGCATGATCGAACTCTCACGAATCCTAACACACGGTTTCGAACAAACGTTCTTTTCTATTTCATCAATTCTGTACTAAAAAACAATACTATTTATAGATCCTAACTAT